CGTTAGTCAGGAGCCGTGCTCTCACACTGTGTCAAGACCCTAGTACTCTCAATTTGACCTGGACAATGCCTTTAAACCAGCCTTTTGAACTCGCACATACGTGTGAAGTTGACTTCTCATCGCAAATAGCGTTTTGAAAGTAATATATTTGCTACATTGTGATTTATCCTTTTCAATAGCTATCGGTTTAGGGATTACTCCTTCGCCGATGCAACGCGCTGCCAAGTCCAGGTGCAGTTGCGCGGAGAACATCAAGCAGGTAATGTCATAGATGCTTATATTTTCCATTATTGCGATCTTGTAACCTTGTCATGGTTAATTATTTCGCTCATAGGAAGTTCTGGAACTTTGTTCTTTACTTTTATCGATTAATTCTGCGTTTTGCAGAATAGCCAAAATCAAAGAGAGCGCTGATTCTAAAGCTGACATCGTCACTAATAGTGCGAACTCACCATCCCCTGCGCCTGCAGGCAAACTTCCTTCCAAAGTAAAACGTGAGTTTTTTCTTGAAGTGTTCATGTGTCAGTTGGGGATGTGCCATCTTACCGATGTACCGTCTCTATCTATCGAAAGCATATTTTTGCAGCTTTGGTCATTAACTTGTTGGTTCCACTTGAAGACCGCATTTATGATAAGATTGCCGATGTTCTCGCTGAGAGAATCACTCTTGAAAGTGTAAGAATATGATGAAAGCTGTGCAGCGTTCAAAACAGCCGGTTTTTAGGTGGAGGATGAGTCCCTACGGGTTGCCATAGAGAATATCCGAGATAGCGGAGAGATCATGGTGGAAGAATGGTTAGAAGAGCAATTTTTCTGCCCACCTGGATTGCGTTTACGAGCTAACGATGACATCGGGAGGATATATCTCAGAAAAAGCGAAGTTGCGGAGGTTGGGTGATCTCAGCTTTCTATGACTATCATATTTGCAAAATTATCGTTAGGTATGGCGGATGTGTTATGCTACACTAAGTGAGCGACCTCAATGTGAAATTCTGAACGCTGTTGATGCACAATATGTTGGAATAGCAACTAAAGCAAATGTGAGTTTCTTTTTTGTTTGGAAACTGGGCATCCGTTGCATCTGATTTCATCTGTTCAGTTGAAAGAAGTCTCAAAATATGACCTGCTGAAAGGAGCTCGAGTAGTGTTTCCAACGCCGCCCAGATCCATCGGGAGAAAACCAATGCAATATGTTCAGGTTTGTTATCTTTTACTGCGAGTATATCTTGTTTCTTTTTTGTTTACTATGTTCTTCGTTTTTTCTTTTACCTTCTTCTTCGTTTTGTAATTCCTGACGATTCACATAGTTTGAGCTTATTGACTGTAAAAACAGGTAACTACAATATGTTGATACGCGGTTTTTTTTT